TGCCCTGCACCCAGCGGCCTGGACTTTGCTTTCATGGTGGAGCTTTTCCCAGGGCTTCCGGGCACGAGGGGGGGCCAGGGCAGGGGACGCCTTGGCACAGGGCTGGACGCTGCGTCCCAGGGCTTGCGGGGAGGCTGGGCAGGACAGGGGCACATGCCAAGCACTGCCCCTCCAGTGCTGCCCACAGCAAGGCACACAGAGCTTTGCCAGGGACTTGCAGGGGGACAGAGACGAGCCCCAGTGCTGAGAAGGTGACAGGGTCAGATCCTGCCTGGTGCTCAGCACGTTGCCAGGTGCTCCCAAGCCTGTACCTTGGGAAGGTGCTGGGCAGGCAAGCGGGGGCCTGAGAGCCCCCCCATCCCCTGTTCTGCTCCAGGGAGCACCTGGGGGCACGTGGCTGGGGGGATGGGCCAACAAGCACTGCAAGACAGGGGGACCTTGCCCCCCGCCAAGCAGGCAAGCCCTGAGAGCAGCGAGAGAAGGGGCAGCTTGGGGGTGAGCTTGGCCCCGAATCCAGTGTTGTTGCTTGGCAGGGCAAATTCCTGCCCAGCAGGATGGGGCAAAGGCCCCACCACAGTCCAGTGCTCCCTGAACCACCGTCCCCAGCCCCAGCGAGCAGCGCAGAGCCACAAGAGGCAGCAGCTGCTGGAGCCCCTTGGGGCTGGCCCCATCCCCAGCCATGCCCAGGGGGTTTACATGTGCACCAAGCCCAAATACAACTGGGAAACACACGAGCTGCCTCGGCTTTACCCCCTGTTCACAGCCGAGCTCGGCCCACAGCTGACCGGTGTCTGGGAGCCTGGGTGTGGCGAAGGGGGTGCAGGATGGGCTGCACCTCCCCAGAGCCTGCCAAGCCCCCAAGGACCCTGCACCCCGCATTTAGGGGGGAGGGAGAAGGGGGACGCAGCCTGGGCCGTTCCTCCACAGAGGTTTGGCTACACCGTTTTGTTCTCCAGCCAAAGCCCAGCGGTGATGCCAAGCCAATGCTATAAATCCTGCTTTGGAAACACACTTTTCAGCAAGAAGGTGATTTGCCAACAACCTCTCAGCCCCACTCTCCGCCCGTCCCTGGAGGCTGCTGGGTGCCAGCGAAGGCTGCTGGGAGTGGGGAATGGGAAGGCAGGCAGCAGGAGCCCCAGCCAGGCTGGAGGATGGGAAGGTTCCCCGTGGCTGCCTGCAAGCATGGCTGACAGCGCACAGACACCAAGAAAGCAGCCCAGGCGCTGGGAACACCCGCACACCCACTTTAATCCTGGCCCTGAGGTAGCTGGAGGCAGCTCAGAGCAGGGGGATGCGGGAGGGCTCCCAGAGGCGCTGGGCCAAGTCGCAGGCTTGCTGGACCACAAGCTCGGAGGGGATGATGCCCAGGTGCACGGTTAGCAGCTCATAGCACTTCACCACCTCTGCCTGGTGGTTCTTGCTGTAGTAACGCAGCAGCTTCCTGGGAAGGAGAAGACAGGGGGCTCGGCATGTGCAGCGTGGCCTGGCACCCCCTTTCTAACCACCTTCCCCCTAGAAAATCCCTGGCAAGGACACAGTGCCCCTCCGCCAGCAGGACCACAGCACCAGGCTGGGGAGATGGGCTGTTGCAGCCCCACTGACACCACAGCGCTGGTACCACCCTGCAGCGACGTCCTGGCAAGGACAGCATCACTCATGGGGACCCCCGTGCCAGCACAGCCCCGGGCCCTGGTGCCAAACCACAGGGCTGGGGACTGCTCACCTGTAGTAGTCTCCTGCCAGCGTCCCAATAGGAGCAGAATCATCGGAGAGAACCGGCACCTCCATCACCTCCAGCTTGTAGCCCTGGGGAGAGATGACAGCAGAGGGCAGAAGCACAGAGGGGACCGCCAAGGAGCCGGAGCCGGGTGGTGCCTACAGCCCTGCTCCCTGCCCTCAGAAGGCGCTGGGGGAGAGGGGCTCAGCCCCTTCCTCGCCCCACGTACCAGCTCGTTCTCAAACCAGAGGAAGTAGGAGCAGCAGTAGTCGCCATCCTGCAGCATGAGAGTTAGCCCTTCTGCAGGTATCGCCGGGCCAACGCAATCAGGGACCAGACCTGGGGGACAAGGGGCACCTGAAGCCTGAGCAGAAAACCCTCCAAACACTGCCCGCTCTTGTGGTCCCCATCCCACCCCCAGCCGCACAAGCAGTACCTTCCTCTTGATGAAGGCGGCCAGGGGGCCCTTGCCCAGCTCCGAGCTGGACTTCTCTGTCCCGCTGAGCGATGGTGCCATCATCTGCCCAGCTGTGCGGTCCACATAGATGAAGTGCACCAAGCCAGGAAAGTCTTCCAGGTATGTGGGGTGGGTTAAGGGTGTCCAACAACTTTGGTGCCCTTCCAGGACAGCCCCTGAGCCTTGGGGAAACCGCCTTCACCCACCACGCTCCTCCCCTTGAGCCTGCTGCTGGGGGGACAGGGCCCCACTCCCACCTCTGCTACCCCCTGGGGACCCTTCCTCACTGGGCTGGGCTCCCAGCCGCAGGGACGGGTATGACACCATGGTGATATTGCGCCTGCTTTTCACCAGCAGAAAGTCCCGCCAGTCCAGCAGCTTCTCCCTGCCGAGAAGAGGCACAGTGAGAGGCCGGGACCTCCAAAACCCTGGCACAGCTAGGTGTGGGGCAATGCCCCAGCTCCCCCGGGGATGCTAGCAGCCCCTATGGACTCACCTCATCAGCTTCTGGGCACGGTCCCGCAGTCCCTGGGACAGGCTGTGGCCGGCGGAGCCCAGGAAGAGCTGGCGGTACATGGAGCAGAGCTGTCGCTTCACGTTGGCCAGTGCCTGCAGCAGCCTGAGCCGGGAGACATGGACGGCGCAGAGCTTGGCCCCTGGGCCCCCAGCACCGCAGGGACAGATGTGCCGCCCCCCGGGCTGGGAAAAGTCCCTGTCTGCCCCGGAGACTTTCCCTGGCCACCCCGTACTCACTCCAAGGAGCTCCCAGGCTCACTCCGGGAAAATATCTTGTTCTTGAAGTCCACCCAGGTGTTCTGCAACTAGAGAGGAACAGGGCTCAGCATCAGGCTGCAGGGACAGCAGGACAGGATCATTGTGTCCCCACTCCCACCTGGATGTCCTGCCCGCTTAGCTTCTTCACAAACTTGTCCATGCGTTGCCGCAGCTCCGCCAGGAATGGGTAGGAACGTGGGGCTCCGGCCTCCGGCCCCTCTTCCAGCTTCCTCTCCAGCACCAAGAAACCATCCAGCAGCTGGTACAAGGTGACGGCCACCTGGGTTGTGGGGCCCTGCCAGGGAGGGGAGAGGTGGGTCAGCCAGGAGCCAGCCCACCGTCGCTTCCCTCACCTTAGAGGCAGCTCACCTTGGTCAGGAGGACGAGGGAGATGCCCGGCCAGAGCGGGAGGCAGTGCATGGTGTGTGGCAGCAAGGGGCAGTACCCTTCCCGCAGGCTGGCATCCAGGAAGATCCTTCTGGGGTTTGAAGCTTCAGGGACCAGAGGCCCCAAGGTCTGGAGCAAGTCCTCTGCCATCTGGGGGGAGAGGGGAGATGCTCAGCCTCCTGCAGGGACAAGACAGCCCACACCCACCCAGGATGCTCTGGAGGGACACAGCAATGCCCTGAAAGCTGCAACCAGGCATGACTGAACGGAGGGAGCTGGAGGGGCCATGCAGCAAAAAATCAGCAGCAAGGGAAGTGCCCAGGGACCCCAAAAGAGCAGCAGATAGAGGGGAAGCCGCTTGCAAAGACACAGGTTGCACACACTTTGCACCAAGACCAGCACTCACTTGCAGAGTGCGTGTGAGGCTCTGCAGCATCTGGCAGGGAAGCAGCCCAGAAAGCCCAGAGGCAGCAGAGGGAGACACCAGACTGCTCTGAGGCAGCCCCGGCCCCTCCGTGCCCACAGCTCTGGACAGGGAGACCATAACCAATGCCCCAGGGAGGGTGCTCAGAGCCCTCACAGGATTATGCACAATGTGGGGGACGTGGGGTGCATTCCCAGCCCTAGAGGCTGGGGCACCCACAGCTGCAGCACAGTAAGGGACGAGTGATGAGGACCAGAGACTGCAAAGAGCACCAGGACAGGCTGGGGAGGCACGGAGCCGGGAGGGACTGCAGGATCCCTTGCTTACCTGGACATCTGCAGCGTCTGCCTCCCCGGTGCCCAGCATCTCAGCACCCTCTGACCAGCTCTCACTGCCTGCAGGGAGCACGGCAGGTCGCCCTTCCCACCAGCCCCCCACGCAGCCCCAGAGCCTCCGTGGGGCTGGGGGGTGCGGGGCAGCGCTGCTGCCCAGCCGGGCACTCACCCGTGCTGTGCCTGCCTGGCGAGGGCTCAGGCGTGTAGTAGACCTCGGGCACGGAGAGATCGTCTGTGTCCTGCTGGCGAGAATGGCTGGGTCAGACATGAGGGCGATGCAGGCACCCCAGCCAGAGTCCCACCCTGCAGCTCCC